TACTCTTTTCATGTCCCCCCCCTGGCAACATTCTGGTGTACCACCTGGCTACACTCTGGAGTACCACCAGGCTACGCTATAAACTTCCATCTGGGTACTCTCTGGTGTACCACCTGGCTACACTCTGGTGTACCCCCTGGCTTCACTCTGGTGTGCGATCTGGCTACACTCGGGGGTTTTCCACCTGGCTACACTCTGGTGCTCCACCTGGCTACCTATGGTGCTGCACCTGATTACACTTTGTGAAACCACCTGGCTACACTCTGGTGTACCACCTGGTTTCTCCTCTGGTCTTCCACCTAGCTACACTCTGGTGTACAACGTGGCTACACTCTGGTGTACCACCTGGCTACACTCTGGTCCTCCACATTGCTACACTCTGGTGTGCCACCAAAGCTACACTCTGGTGTACAAACGTGGCTACACTCTGGTGTTCCTCCTGGCTACACTCTGGTGTACCACCTGGCTACACTCTGGTTTACCACCGGGTTAAACTCTGGAGTACCACCTGGCTACATTCTGATGTTCACCTGGCTACATTTTGGTTTTACTATTTGGCTACGCTCTGGTGTACGACCTTGCTACACTCTGGTCCTCCACCTGGCAACACTTTGATGTACTACCTGGCTGCACTTTTGTGTATCACCTAACTACACTCGGTGTTCCCCAAATGCTTCCTCTGGTGTCCCACCTGGCTACACTCTGGTTTTACCACCTGGCTACGCTCTGGTGTACCACCTTGCTACACTCTGGTCCTCCACCTGGCTACATCTGATGTACCACCTGGCTACACTTTTGTGTATCACCTAGCTACATTCAGGTGTTCCACCTGGCTACACTCTGGTGTTCCAACTGGCTTCACTCTAGTGTACCACCGGGGCTACACTATGGTCTTCCACCTAGCTACAGTCCGGTGTATCACCGGGGCTACACTCTGGTGTAACACCAAGCTACACACTGGTGGACCACCTGGTTTCACTCTAGTGGAAAACCTGGTTTAACACTCTGCTTTTCCCCACCTGGCTTCACTCTGGTGTACTACCTGGCTACACTCTGGTGTTGCACCTGGCTACGCTCTGGTGTTTCACCTGGCTACACTCTGGTGCTCCACCTGGCTACACTCTGGTGTTGCACCTGGCTACACTATTGGTTCCACCTGGCTACGCTCTGGTGTACCACCTGACTACCTCTGGTCTTCCACCTGGTTTCACTATGGTGTATCACGTGGCTACACTCTGATCTTCCACCTGGCTACACTCTGGTGTACC